GAGTTTCTTGGAGTCCTCTTGGGGCGTCTTGGGGGCCTCTCGACAGTCTCGGTGGCCTCTTGTAGCGTCTTGGGTGCCTCTCTGGGGGGCTTCTTGGAGTCTCTTGGGGGTCCCTTGGGAGCCTGTTGGGGGCATATTTGGGGCATCGTGGGGGGGCCTCTTGAGGCCTCCTGGGCACCTTTTGGGGCCATCTTGGGTCACCCTTGGGAGCCTCAGGTCCCATCGTGGGGCCATCTTGGAAGATATCGATCAAAGGAGGAGAGCTTTTTACTTAGGGTTCCCTCCCCAGGAGGCCAACATGTTGCCCAAACCTCAGTAACACTGATTGAGGCCTTCTCGCCCAGGCCTCTAGGAGCGTCTTGGGTGCCGCTGGCGGGGGGGCTCTTGGGGGTTTCTCACGAGCCTCTTGGGGGCATCTTGGGGTCCTCTTGGCGCCTCCTGGGTGTCTCTTCGGGCCCTCTTGTGGCACCCTCGGGAGCCTCGGGGGGGGGATACTTGTGAGACACATACGTTAGGAGGGGAGGAGGAGGAGGAGGAAGAAGAGAACGTCTTTGGTGTCGGTGTCGGCGCGGGTTGGGCGTGTCGTCTCGATTTTCTGTGTGCGTTCGTGTTGTGGGTCTTGGTCCGTGGTGTTTGCTGGTGTGAGGTCGGTGTAGTGATGCTCGAGCGCCGCCCACGTTTCGCTATCTTGGACTGCTTGCGTCCATGTGATATCATTTGGTTGTCCTCTCGACTGGGTCTGCGTGGATGGTCGGTGGAGGTCTGGCCTGCGCTGGCGTAAGCAGGCTATGACTTCATCGTCCCAGCGCTTGCGTCGGTCACCGTGCTGCTATTGCCCCTGCTGGCGCCCGTTGAGGCCTGGCTGCCAGTGTAGCACTCGCTGGGGGCCCATGCCAAGAAACACCCTGCTTGCCTCCAGGATGCCCTGGGTTTCTTGGGATTCAATGGTTTCGCGATGGAAACCGCAACGCTCCCACACCAAAAGTCCATGGACGCCCTGGGGTCTCAGGGTTGGGTTTCTTGTGGACGGTTTCTTGTGGAGGGGCCCTTTCTGTATGTTCAATCGTGGTTTGCGACTCCTGAAGCCATGCGCCATATGCCTCGCTCCTGTACCGTCACCGTGAAGCTTCATAAGGTGCTCTGCTCGTCGGGCGTGTCGCTCTCTGGATGCACTCGGCCCAGGGTTCCAATGAGGAGTCCACGATCGTGCCGTCTTTCGCCGCTCTCGCTGTGCTTGGCGGGCGTGATCGCTGTTTCCCCTCCCCATGGGAGCAGCAGGTGGCAAAAACTTGTGAGCACCAGCGGTTGTGGCCTTCTCACCGAGGCCTCTAGTGGCGTATTGGGTGCCTCTCTGGGGGGCCTCTTGGGGCCCCTTTGGGGGTCTCTCGGGAGCCTGGTGGGAGCCTCTTGGGGCCTCCTCGGCACCTCTTGGGGCCGTCTTGGGGCACCCTTGGGAACCTCGCGGGCCATCTTGAGGCCATCTTGGAAGAGATCGATCCTAGAAGGGGGAGGTTCCAATTTCGCCCCCCCGCGCCCCCTTGGAGGCCAACATGTAGCCAAAACCGTAGTAGCATCAACGAGGTTGGCCTTCTCGCCGAGGCCATCTTGGACGCTCCAACGACCCGCGCCCACCCCCGCCAGACCCAGGGGGGGGAGGGGGAGGGGGGGAGGGGTAAACCCCTCCCCGAAGGGGAGGAGGGAAGATGGAAGAGGAAACTTCGTAAACCACTCACGCCCGGAGGGGCTGGCGTGATTGCCAGCCGATATCGAACATTCACTCGGCATGTACTCTGGCGTGCGATTTAGTTATCACATGGATCTGGCGCGACTGTCTCAGTAAGAGCTCGGACACAGGATTCCTTGCATGTGATCGGGCCTTCGTCCCTTGACCAAAGAGTCTGACAGCAGATCCTTTGACTTCAATTCTTGACGCTCCGTGCATTCCCACCGGCCCATCCAGAAACGATGCCCGTGAGAGTTGACGGGGGGAGAGAGGAAGAGACACGCATAGTCAAACAGCGAGGATGGCTGGCCTGGAAGGCGTGTTTGGGGCCATCTCTGGGCCCGCCTGGGGGGGGGGGCGAGGAGGAGGAGGAGGAGGAGGAGGAGGAGGAGGAGGAGGAGGAGGGAGCGAGCGGCCTAAAGCCAGTCGCCGACGGCCCCGCGTCGGGGCGCGCGGCAGGCCTGTTCAGCCCCGGAGCGAGGCGAGGCAGGCAACGCCTGGTGGGGGCGTGGACGGCGCAGTGAGGGGGCCCACGGCATCGCCGCCGCCCCCCGGTCCCCGCCCTAGCTCAGACGGCGGGCCCACGAGGAAGACCTCCTCAGACTGCTCCTCGAAGATGAGCTGCAGCACGAACGAGGAAGTCATCCAGGCTCCCGCCCCCCCTCACATGGGTCACGACCGCGTCGACCCCGCGCTCGCAGAGCTTGATGCCCTTCTCCTCGAGGGCGCCCTTCACCTGGCACACCACCAAGTCGCCCTTGACGACGTCGGCATACCGTAGCGCCCCTGGCTGCCCCGAAGCCCTGCCCCTGCCCCTGCCTTGCTTGGGGGCTCCACTGCCACGGTCACGGGCACGCTTCTTGGGGATGTACTCCGCCTCGAGGTCGATGCCGACATTGGCCTGCTCCTCGAACGGGTTGCTCTCCTCGATCTTCTTGCTATCCGACGTGGAAAAACACGAGGCCGGTAGGGTAGAACATGGTGCCAAACTTACCTTATCACCCTCGGGATCCGTGTCCTTCCCGTGGATGATCTGGACAATCGAGTCCGTCTGAAGGCGAGCTGCTGCGACGCGATGCTCACGTGCCATCTGCTCCTTCATGAAGAACTGCTCGTTCAGCGCCCTCAACTTCACGAAGGCGTCGGACCGCGCGTCGCTCTTGAACGGGTCGGACTCCTCGAAGACGGCCTCCAGGCTGCTCACGGAGTCCTCGTTGCTGATGCCGAACCCGCCCGCATGCTGCGGGCTCCCAAACTCGGAGAACTTGCCGACGTGGGGATCCGCTCCGCACTCAGGCTCTGAACCTCCACCAGCACTTGCAGGAAGAGAATCACTGTTCATGAATTTGAGCTCCTCGTCGCTGTCGAACGCGTTGCCGAAGAGGTCGAAGGTGCCGTCGTCGCCGTCGAGAGGGGCCTCTTGCCCAACACTGCCAGTTGCAACTTCATCACCATCACATGCAACAACTCTGAGACCGCTTCCAGGAGCGACCAACGTGTCGTCGAACTCGCTCTTGCAGAGGCCTGACTCGTGCCACCAGCCGCCTAGCGCATCTGAGCACCACTCGGGCTCGGTGTCGTCTAAGTCCATGCCGCGACTAGAACAATCCTGGGGGCGGGCTGCGTCGCCACGGTGCCCTCGCCAAGCTCTTGTCCCTGCCCTTCTTGTCCTTTTTCTCCTTCTTCTTCTGCTTCTCCTTCTCCTGGCGCTTGAGCTTGCGCTGCCGCTTCAGCTCCATGCGCTCCTCCAGCTCCTGCAGCTCCTCCTGCTTCTTTGCCTCCTTGCTGGCCTCCAGCGCTCGAAGGAAGATCTCCCGCGCCGACGTGCCAGCGGATGAGGCCGCGCCCGACGGCTGCGGCCCCCGGAACGGGCTGGTCCACCAGCTGTGCTTCACCGGCGTCTCGAAGCCATCCTCTATGGCAGGGAGGAGCTCCGGAGCCCGTGGGGGCTTGACCGTCGGCCGCGCGCGCCCCTTGGGCTTGGGCGCCTCCGTCGGCTCCGGCCTTGTCGCCACCTCCTCGGGCGTCGGCGAACGCCATGCCCCAGGCGGGGGCTCGGGAGCTGGGCCCGTGTGCTGCAACACCGTCTCCAGCGCCGCCGAGAGGACCGCCTTGGCCGTGCTGTTCTGCCATGGCGTGTGGCCCGCCGTGAGGATGCCCTCGCGAAGTACCTCACAGCAAGCTGAGCCGCGCGGGCGGCCCCCACGATGGCGCCCTCGCGGCGGCGCGGCCGCCGGCCGAGGGCGGGGGGGGCGCCAGGCTCAGCCGCAAGGGCTGAGGAGGAGGAGGAGGAGGAGGAGGAGGAGGAGGAGGAGGAGGAGGAGGAGGAGGAGGAGGAGGGAGGAGGCAGGAGGAGCAAGACGAGGAGAATGAGGACGAGGATGAGGAGGACGAGGACTAAGAGAGTGAGGAGGAGGAGGAGGAGGAAGGAGGGGAGGAGGAGGAGGAGGACGTCGAGGACGAGGACGAGGACGAGGACGAGGGGGAGGATGACAACGAGGAGGAGGAGAAAGAGGAGGAGGAGGGGGGAGGAGGAGGAGGCGGATCTTGGCGCCTCTTGGAGCATCTTGGGAGCCATCTTGAACAATTTTGTGCTATCTTGAGCCATCTTGGAGGTCATCTTGGGCTCTCTGAGGCCGCTCGGGGGCCTCCTCGGGGCCTCTTGGAGCCCTCTTGGAGCCCTCTTGGGGCCCCTTGGGGCGCTCGTGGGACCCTCTTTGGTGCCTCTTGGGAGCCCTGGAGGGCCTCTTGAGGCCATCTTGAGGGGTCCACAATCCTCTTGCGTCCCCCCCTCGGGGGCCACAATCCTCGTGAGGGGTGTCAAACATTGACCCTCCCAATGGCCGACAAAGACCCTCCAACACCTCGCGAAACCTCCCAAGAAATCCCAGGGAGGGGAGGGGGAGGGTTCCCCTCCCCGAAGGGAAGAGAGGGGTCGTTGAAGAAAAGAGAGATCACCCTTAGACCACCTGTCGCCCAAAGGGCTGGTGGGATTTCTATGGATTCCTTACTGGTCTCTGCTTCGTTATTTCTTCTCTCTTTTTGTCCCTCCCTCTCTCTCTCTCTCCGTTTCTGTCTCTTTATCTTTTGGAGTGCCTGTCACGCGTTGCCTCCACCAGTTGCTTCGAGTCCACGCGCAGCGCGGCAGCACAGTCGGACTCGGAAATCATGACTACTTGTTGTGCGCGTGCGTGCGTGCGTGCGTGGGTGAGAGAGAGAGGCCTGTGCGTCATTTCTCGCGACATTCGTTTTGGAAGCATGCCGTTGTCCTCGACAGTTGGACAACCGCCTCTACGAGCCGTGCATGGTTCCTTGAGTCTTCAGCCAACAGTGGGAAGCTGATAGTTGGAAAGCTGAACACTGTCAAGCTGGATCGAGGAGAGCTGGAGAAAGCGGAAAGCCATAGCGCTGAACAGTTGGAATGGTGGAGAATTGGAAGCCGGAACAGAACAGATCAGATGGTAAAAGATAGGTAGCAATGAGAGCCAGGAGGGCTGGACAAATGCCTGGGCGCTGGAGGCTGGAGCGCGGAGAGAGTGGACAGATCGACTAGACGTAAGAGTGACCCTTCGCCGGAGAAACCTTTGGTGCGGGCTCACCGGGGTCCCCCCGATGGCTGAGCGCGATGCGACAGTGGTTGCCTGCGTGCTTGGATGTGGCCACCTTGCGCCCCCTTACGCCGCGCACTAAAGGTCACTCTTGCCTAGGGTCACTCTTGCGTGTAGTCGCGGAAGGCGAGGATCAGTTGCAACGATGGGGGGATCGGCATGGGGGGGGATGCATCGACCCCCAATCGCCTACTGATCGCCGATACGGGCCCGACAGCCCCAACCTGCCCAGGAATGTGCGGATTCACGGTCGGAGGCCTATCGCCGATCTATCGGCGATGTATCGCTGATCCCAGGTCGATGCATCCCCCCCTGTGCCACTCCCCCCCTACCGTTGCCCCTCAGGAGGAGGAGCAGCAGCGGCAGCTGACAGAACCCCGGGCAGGACCCGAGGCTCGGAGCAGAGGGCGACAGAGCCGAGCGGAGCGCGCCGCGCGCCGCGGCCGCTCTCCGCAGGACGGCTCCTCGCCGCGGAGGACGCGCCGGCCGCTCGGGAGGAGGAGGGGGAGGGGGAGGAGGGGAGGGGAGGAGGGGAGGAGGAGGAGGAGGAGGAGGAGGAGGAGGAGGAGGAGGAGGAGGAGGAGGAGGAGGAGGAATCTGTCAGCAGACACCGCAGAGATTACAGGACTTCGAGGAGGAGGAGGAGGAATTTGTTAGCAGTTACCGAGGAGGAGGAGGAGGAGGAGGAGGAGGAGGAGGAGGAGGGGGAGGAGGAGGACGAGATTCGGTACATCGACAAAATGACGCACCACCTGGTGCCCAAGACAACGGACACCGTTTTAACATAATCGCTTACGTCTGAGCCTCCCCCCCACACCCCCCCATCCAATATTGGCTGCGGTCAGGGGTCGCCGAAGCAGGTTGGTGTTGCAACATTCTGTCGATCGCCTGGGGAATTTTAGAACAGTTCCTTCTCGGATGCCCCCAATATTGGATCGGGGTGGGGGGGGAGGCGGGTGTTGAATTGCACATTTCAGAGCTCGCCTAACATGATGCAATCTGTTGTCGACATACGGTAGGGAGTTCGAGGTTCGAGGTTTTCGTGTGCCCTCGTCGGTTCCTGGCGGGTTTACAGCTTCGGGATGTGTTCCGGCAGCCAGCTGCGCCTCGCCGAGGGCGTCCCCGGGGTGCCTGGGTCGCCGCGCCCCGAAGGGCCGCCGGAGAGCTGAGCCGTGCCCCGAAAACCAGGGAGGAACGTCAGGGGGGAGGCCAGGCGGCTTAGGGGGGGATGCATCGACCCCCGAGTGCCCACGGATCACCAGCAGGGGCCAGTCGCCACCCCTCCCAGGAACGTGCGGCTTCACTATGGGGCAGATCTTTCCTACCTATACGACCACCCTTCGGGTGATAAGGAGGTTGTGGGGGGGGAGAGGGGGGAAACCAACATCTGACTCAATCGATCTCACTATCGATCTCACTCCACGGGACACCACGGGACACTTGTCGATCTCACTATCGATCTCATTCAACGGAACACCACCATGGCCTCCGCCGGACAGAGGAGAATCATTTGTTTTGACTTCGCCCTGGCAACGGCGGACACCACGGGACACCGCGGGACACCGCTAGGGCCTCCGCCGGACGGATGAGAATCATTTGTTTGGACTTCGCCCTAGCAACGGCGGACACCACGGGACACCGCGGGACACAGCTAGGGCCACCGCCGGACGGACGGAGGAGAATCATTTGTCTGGATTTCGCCCTAGCAACGGCGAGTTCATTCCTCTCGCGCGCCCACGCAGCTTCGCCTCGCCCGCACGCACGACACAAACGAAACGACACGATTTCCCGGTTGGGGGTCTCCGTTCCATTGCGATATTTTCCCTAACCTCAGACATGTAAGCATGTATGCATGTATGCATGTATGCATGCATGCATGCATGCATGTGTGCATGTGTGTATGTGTTTGCCTGTGTGTATGTATGTATGTATGTATGTATGTATGTATGTATGTATGTATGTATGTTTGTATGTATGTACGTATGTATGTATGTATGCATGTATGTATGTATGTATGTATGTATGTATGTATGTATGTATGTATGTATGTATGTATGTATGTAATGTATATAATGTATATAATGTATGTAATGTATGTAATGTATGTATGTATGTATGTATGTATGTATGTATGTATGTATGTATGTATGTATGTATGTATGTATGTATGTATGTATGTATGTATGTATGTATGTATGTATCATATACTGGGATACCGGGGGCCAGGGCCCCGGGCCGGGACACCTTCCCGAATTTCTCCCCCCCCCCCGTAACCCACTTTGCCCCCGGGCGTCCAGAGGCTCTTTTGCGCCCCTGGAGGCGTCCACCACGGCTTCCGGGGACGGCAAGAAGCCGCCAAGACGGCCCAAGAGCGCTCCAAGACTCTCAAGATAGCCCCATCAAGGCCCAAGGGGCCCCCAAGAAGCCCCAGGGGCGCTCCGAGAGGCTTTCCAAGAGAGCCCCAAGAGGCTAAAATCATAGATTTTCATTGTGTTTTTCAATGTTTTTTGCTTGCCCGCGTTTTCGGGCTTCTGACCTTCCAAGATTGCCGAGGAAGCCTCGAACATCGCCCCAAGACGGCCCAAAAGGCCCCCGAGAGGCCCCCAAGACAGCCCAAGAGGGCGCCCAAACGGTCCAAGAGGCACCCAAGACGGCCCAAGAGGGCTTCAAGACGGCCCCAAGAGGTGCCAAAGAGGGGGAACACGAACCGACAATGGAGATTTCCGCCCCAGTAGGCCCCCAAGAGGCCCCCAAGAGGCCCCAAGAGGCTTAAAAATGTCCCCGTCAGAGACCCCAAAGAGGCCCCAAGATGCCCCAAAACGGCCCCCCGAAGGCTTCGAAACATTTCAAAATTGCCTCCCCCCAAGAGCCACTCCAGAGGCCCCACGAAGCCCACTGAAGGCTCCAACGAAGCCCCTACAGTCCGCAAGCAGCCACGGACGAGCCCCGCGAGGCATCAGAATTGCCTCCCCAACAAGCATCCAATATGCCTCTGACCCACAACACAGGCACGGTGGCGGCTTCATCCGTTGCCCTCCTGTTGATTTGGCCCCAGGACTCACGACGGCCCCAAGAGAAGGGCAAGATGGCCGAGATCAGTCCGAACCACAAGCGGACGCTAGGGCATCGGTTCCATTCTTTATCTTCCCTGCTCTCTCTCGCCCCCCTCCCCTCAGTCCCTCCTTGCCCGCTCCCCCATACATATGGCCTCGCTTGATCGAGTAATCATCTTGTACAGCGTGAGCTCCACAGTGAGATGGGCCGCAAACACCCAACGAGACCCTGGACTAACCCCCCGCGGCGCCCAAGAGACCCTTCTCCGCTGGGGCCAGGCTCATGTTGATGTTTCAAACCATGCTGAAACCATTCGTCGGTACGTGCATTCGTGCAGCCGTGATTTTGTCAATGCGCGCAGCCGTGATATTGTCAAGAGCCTGCGCTTGCTGGAACCTAAGCGCGCGAAGCGCGCGCGTGGTTCTAGTGTATGTATGTATGTATGTATGTATGGATGTAATGTATGTATGTAAATATGCATGTATGTATGTATGTATGTATGTATGTATTTATGCATGGGTGGATGGATGGGCGGGTGGGTGGGTGGATGGATGGACGGATGGATGGATGTATGGATGGATGGATGCATGTGTGTAATTGTGTGTATGTGTGGATGTAAGTATGCATGCATGCATGCATGTATGCATGTATGTATGTATGTATGTATGTAATGTATGTATGTATGTATGCATGCATGTGTGTATGTATGTATGTATGTATGTATGCATCAACGAATGTATGTTTGTATGTATGTATGTATGCATGCATGCTTGTATACATGTATGCATGTATGTGTTGTCGAATAAAAACAAATACCCCCCTTCAGGTGTGCCACACCTCTCCCCCACATTGGCGGAACGCTCCCAGCGCCGCCCGGCTTCCTGGGAGCCTGCAAAACGCCCGAGGACAGCCCGAGACGACCCCGAGAAGCCCCCAACACGTAAAAGAGCAGCCGGATACGCTCCAAAGCAACCCAAGATAGCCTTCGGGCGGCTCTCCAGGCTCCTAGGAGGCCTCCGAAAGACTTCGAAATATCTCCGAGAGGCCTCCCGAACACCCAGAGAATTTGTTATCGAACAGCGCGTCTGGATGAGACCTTTCAGTGGTCTTTGGGGCGCGTCTTGGAGCCCTCTTGGGGCCCTCTGGAGCCCCCTGGGTGCTCCCAAGAATGTTCCAAGGGACATCCGAGGCGGTGGAGGGGGAGGTGGAGGGGGAGGTGGAGGGGGCTGTGGTGGGGGGGGGGAGGGGGATTTGGAGGGAGTGCGGAGGGGGGTGGTGGAGGCGGGGTGGAGGGGGGGTGGGGGGGTTGGTGGGGGGGGGAGGGAGAGGGAGAGGGGTTTGATTAGGAAACTGGAAGAGGTTTGACGACCACGATGATGACGACGACGACGACGACGACGACGACGACGACGACGACGACGACGACCACGATGACGAGTGGGCGCCTTGGAGTTCTCGTGGGCCGTCTTGGAGGCGCCTTGGGGGCCTCCTTGGACCGTCTGGAGGCCGTCATGGGGCCATCTTGGAGGCCTCTTGGGCGCTCTTGGGGCCATCTTGGGGGTCTCTTGGGCGGCATTGGGCCGTCGGCAGGCCGAAAACGTCAAAATCCGTCAAGAGCCCACGGGAAATCAGCTGCCTTTGCCTCTTCGGGCCTTCCTGCAGGTCCCCTTGGAGGCTTCTTGGACTGCATTGGAAGCCTCTTGGGGGCCTTTTGGGAC